TTTTTTTTTTTTCAAATTTGACTTGAGTTTAGCTTTTGTTAGAGATATTTAGGTAATTATATTTATATGTTAGCAAACTAAGTATTGAAATACAGGAGAATCCTACGAATTGAAATTTATTTTTCAGTTCTTACAATTGAACTATAAATAGAAAATTGCAATATAATTTAAATCAGTTACAACTTAAAAAACGAAAGATTATAACCGATGCGAGTTAACTCTTTCGGCAAGATAACTACGGCTCGTGTAGTACTGACGACTCATGCGTATCGTCTCAAAATCTGTAGCAAACCAGACTTACGAGCTCCACGAACCGAAACGAAGTTGAGAACTGAACACTTAAAATTAGAATGAAAATTATCTCTTTTGATCTTTTGATAACAGATAATTTTGCTTCAATAAAACTATCATGTTATTATTTTTCTTTTGCTTTATGTTTCTAATTTTTCTTCTATCTTCTTTTCCCTCTTATCGTGTATATATTTAGATATTTTTGTACATGTTTAGTAAAATATATTTTCGATATTTTTCTTTTAAATTCTATTTTCAGATTTGCAATTTGGCTTATTTATTCTACATATCGTGTATGTATTTAGATATTTACATTATTTATATTTATTTTTGTGTATTGTAAAAATTTTATTGAATATTGCATCTTATAGTATAATAATCCTCAAAAAAATATATCGCGTGTCTCGCACAGGTCACGTACTATATATATCCCGTACATTTTTTTTATTCATTTATATATATATAAGGCTGGATAAATGACCTTAAAATTGTACACCCCGTGCATCGCACGAGATTTGTACTAGTTTACATTTATATGTTGCAAACTAAGTGTTAAAATACACTGGAATCCTACGAATTGAAATGTATTTTTCAGTTCTAACAATTGAACCAAAAATAGAAAATTACAATAGAATTGAAATTAAATTACAGCTTGAAAAACAAAAAGATTATAGCCGATGCGAGTTAACTCTTTCTGCAAGATAAATACGGCCCGTGTAGTGCTGACGGTTCAGGCGTATCGTCCCCAAAAATACAATAACGATCGTCTCGAAATATGTAGCAAACTAGACTTACGAGCTCCACGAACCAGAATAGGGTTGAGAACTGAACACTTAAAATTAGAATGAAAATTATCTCTTTTACTCTTTTGATAACATATAATTTTGCTTGAATAAAACTATTATGTTATTATTTTTCTTTTGCTTTATGTTTCTAATGTTTCTCCCATCTTCTTTTTCCTCTCAGCTTTCATCTCTATCTCTCGTACTTCTTTTTCTCTGTTTTCAGTTATTCAGATTCAGAATTGCTTTTTCGAAAACAACATGAAAGCAATATCATTTACTCATGCAACAATTCAAGTGGAGGTTTCATTGACCTTTTACACTCAATAGCTATTCTACCGTTATATTCGACCGTTCATTAAGTACTCCATCTTGTAACATACGTGCTCAAGTTCCGAAAGCTCAAACTCAACTCGCGCTCGGATAAACTCAACCTCGAGCCAGCCTATTAAGAGAATAGGTCCCGTTCAAGCGGCCCGCCTACTTTGAATCGAAAGCTCGAGACCTATCTACTTGATTTAATGTTTGCAATCCTAACTGATTATTTTCTTTTCATCTCTAATTGCCCATTTGAATTGGATAGCCTATAACTCTTGCGTCTTGTGTGACTGAATAATCATTTACTTGATGATAATAGTTATACTCGTTAGGTAAATTAAGTCAACTCATAGTAAAAGGAAAAAAATATTATTTAGCAACACATTCACAATATTTGGTTAATAAGTAAAACCGGATTTATAAGCTTTGACACTCGGCGTAAACGAGTCGATTTGAGTTGACTTGGCATATGTGTTGAACATGGAAAATTGGAAATTAATGAGCTAGAAGAAAGGGTATTTTATTTACCTTATGTCAAAGATAAGCCTTTGCCTTATTGGGCAATAAGTTAAATCGAACTTATAACATATGACACTTCATTAAAAGTGTAAACAAGTCGATTTGAGGTCGAACTTTTGACATTTGAGCACGAGATTTTATTTAGCAAGGCCTTGCTCGATTCTATATTCTAAAAATGAGCAGATAAATAAGCTCAAACACAACTCATTTATCAGTATTAATGAGTCGAACTCAAGACTTAACAAACCGAACTATAAAATTATATAAAAAAAAAAAATTTATTTGCGAATCTTAACAAGTTGAGTGTTGTTTACTAAACGAGCTCAAACTCGATTTATTCAGGCCAAGTCGAGTCGAATCTAACTCACAAACAGCTCGTTAACAACTCCACACTCCATAGTGGGCCACAAAATGGCATTAAAATTGCTCATATTACTTAATAAACCAAATATACCAGCTCATCATAGCCAAATATTTCATGGTCAATGTCCATTTATTAAAAACTACGTCAATAAGGTCACTTCATTGGCCCACTAGTTGGGATTTAGTACTTTACTAATCAATTCTCAATTAAATAAATTATATACACGGATACTCTTTATTTTCTAAATAATTATTATTGATTTAATCAAATTGTGGTTATTATAAAGTGTGTCGTGATACTACTACCAGTCTATATTTCCCTAACAAAAATGCACAAATTTAAAATACTTTATACTATTTTCATAACAATACACATGTAAAATTTTATTTAAATTTTTTAATAATTATTGCTCTAATATAGGTTAATTGATGGCAAGAGCAGCAAAAAAAAAAAAAAAAAAAAAATCCTTAATTTTGATATCTTTAAATTATTAAAAAATAAAAAAACCAAGATAAAATTTAATATGGATGTGCCTTTTAAATTAGATATATATATATATATTTAAAAAGTACTATATTGATAACGATTTAAAATGCAACTAGTACTAACATCCATGTACAACATGAGTGTTGAGTTAATAAATATATGTGTAAAGTTATTTATTTCTAATACCAAACTTAACTCCAGAACAAAAATAATATAAAAAACACATCACGAAGCATAGATTTTCGTCATGTCAGCATTCGAAGCGTGAGAATCTACCACTTAAGCTCAACACGTTTTGAATTAATATATAGAGAGGGATTTGTGGTAGAATTTTATATACGTAATTTGAATTTGGAAATTACAAATTAATGGATAAACAAATTTAATAACCAAGAAATTGGACTTCTAAAATTTTACGAAAAACTCCAAATTAAATATTTTACTATTCTTAAATTTTAATAAAATTTTAAGCAAATCAAAGTGAATAGAAAAAAAAAATAAATAAATAAATAAAAAAATCCAACTTGTCTTTCTCTTCCATCTCTTTCACGTGTTTTTCTTCCTGGTTTTGATTTCATCTGAAGCCATTTGCGGGCTCTCATTTTTCTGTACTGTACCAACTTGTAAGGGCCCACCGAAAACGACGCCACCGGTCGTCGTTCAATCGCTGCGGCCCTACAAATAATCGCACCCCAATTCAAGAAAAAAAAAGGAATAAATAACAACCCATTTGTATAAAGGTGGGATTTTTATTTTTTATTTTTTTATTTTAATTTTGTATCTCCTTCCCATTTGTATAATCCTAGTTTATGTTCTTACTTTTGTTTGTTTGTCCTGAATCTGATTTTTCTGAGTTTGTTTCGTCATTAGTATCTATTTGCTCTTTGGTCCTTTGATTTTCTGTTTTTTGTGAATTTTGGTGAACCAGGCGAAGTATCGGATTTGGGTGTTTCTAATTCTTGGTGCAGACAGATTAAGGTTGATCAGTAGTTGTTCAAACAGAACCTCCTCTTTTATAAGGCTGTTGATTGATAAAGGTAAGAACTTGTGAAGATAAATTATTATTCCTAACTAGCTTCATGGCTTTGATGTTAAAATAGCAATCTTTTCAGCAGATCTTTTTGCTTCAATAGCTCAAGAACTTGTTTGTTATTATCACATACACCACCCGAAATTCGATCTCTGTTTCGAGTAGCTCGACCAGAGAATTCGAAGATGACAACCGGGAGCATTAAACCCACCAAAGAAAGGAAGTCTCGAAAGAGCAAACAGCCGATACTCGACGAGAAATCACCGTTGTTACCCACAAAACACGGGGAAGATAGTGGGTTTGATGAGTTTAACGGGGCTTCTTTTAGTGGGGCCGTGTTTAATTTATCGACGACTGTAGTTGGTGCTGGAATAATGGCTTTACCTGCAACCATGAAGGTTTTGGGGCTCTTCTTGGGGATTGCCATGATAATATTCATGGCGTTCTTAACAGAGGCGTCGATCGAGCTGTTGCTTAGGTTCAGCCGAACATCAAAATCGAGTTCCTACGGAGGTCTTATGGGGGATGCGTTTGGAAAGTTTGGCAGAATGTCGATTCAGCTGTGTGTATTGGTCAACAACATTGGTGTTCTTGTGGTTTACATGATTATAATCGGTACCCTTTCGAATTAATCCTTTTTTTTTTTTGGTCTCAATATATATACTTCTCTATCAAATTTGTATTTATGTTAATTTTGGGTGATTGATGAACTTTAAGGTGATGTGCTTTCTGGAACAACATCTGATGGAATTCATCACGCGGGTGTTCTAGAAGGTTGGTTTGGACCATACTGGTGGAATGGGCGTTTTTTCGTGCTTCTTATTACAACTCTTGCCATATTTGCACCTTTGGCCAGCTTAAAGAGGATCGGTGAGTCTTTTTGCTATTAGAGAATTGGTTTGGATCTTGGTTTAGTTGAGAAGCTTTCTTGCACTGTTCTGTAAAATGTATTGGCATATATGAGTTATGACAGCTCATTATGGATTGATTTATGGAGATTTATTGGTGCATGAGAGATTTACATGAGCTTTTGCAAGTGATAGTATGCTTTCTTTCCAGATTATTCATTTTTCTATAAAAGTGAACTTGTCCAATCAATATGCACTTCAAATCATAGCAACGAAAAAAAAAA